ACACACACACACACACACACACACACACACACACACTCTCACTCTCTCTCTTTCTCACACACACACACAGACACACACACACACACTTAGGTCCTAATCCTAACATGCGACAGTTGAGCAGTCTTGTCTAAAAGCTAAGTCTAAATTTCTGCTAATTTGTATCAGACCGGTCAAGGATTTAGACCCAAGATGAAAATGATATAATACAAACAAGATTAAACTGAAATGTGATAGTTTGATAAAGGTGATTCTGCTCATGAAGCTGGAAGGACGAAATTGTTTCGTCCTGTCGAATTTGCACCAACCACCAAAATCTCACTCCATCCTGTTAAATAAATCATGTAAATTCATATATAATCAACATTTCTAATATATATTCTAGATGGATTTAAATGAACCTAAGGATACTAAAGCTTTGTGTTAGAATATATTTATATATACCCATAACTGATGAATATTTTGAAGCTAGAAAACAAGCGTGTGTATAAAAGAAAGTAAAAATAAAATGACGGGTGAAGTGCCGATTTTTTTTCTTCCAGAGCGAAAAGTATGCGGCAGAGCAGCACCGAACATGAATGGGTGTTTTCTGGAGCTTTCTGACTAAAAATAGAAACAAGTGGAAAAATCAAATGTGCGACGATTCATAAAAGTGGGCTTTGATAATTCCATGACACAGGGGTCAAATGATTCGCAAAAGTCAAGTCTAGGTTGAGGCTGTCGAAGTTGCCCTTCTATTGCCAACTTTGCCCCAACCTACCTTATAGTTCTACTTCATTTGCTTTGCAGCTCAGTGTCCTATTGAGTCCAATCTCTTGTAAGTGCTTAATTTCTTGTGCTTACAAAACTGTAAAAGAAATGATCCGGATCGAAACAGTCGATCATTTGCGCTGCATCATTTTACTTTGAACTTGCTTTCGTATTTAATCAAATTGATGTAGGCCTACCCTTAGTCTTCTTCTTCTTCTCAGTTTATGTAGTGTACAGCATCAGAATCAATCTGGGCGGAAGAAGGGTGCTGCACAAGCACAGACAACCGAACCGAACAGTTCTGCAAGTTGCGAAGAAAATAATCCGAGTCGGCATGCTGCTATCGTGCGGTTCTGTTTCCACCATGACTGACAAAGGGGGAATCGCTCAATGACGTCAAACAGGATGGCTGTTTATAAATATCAGCCAATGGTGTTTAGTTGTAGTTCTCTAGCTATCCACTTTTTTTTTGCCTCTTCAGTCCAGCCCATCTTTTTATCACTTACCTTAAATTACATGAGGCTGAGATAGAACTGTTGAAGGCAGAGGACTTCCATAATGGGCGACCACTATGAGACAGTGTAGAAAAGAGGGGTAGGGTTTGGATTATGGTTAGGTCTCTTCTTTGTTTGTTGGGGTGGTCACTCATTACGGAAGTCCTTCAGTTGAAGGAAGTGGCTATGCTCACAGTGGGTGAGAACAGCCTGTCTCGCTATTCTCACCCCCCTCAACCCAACGGCAACAGGTGTGCTTTGGACTATAGCACAGACACGCTCAGAGCAGCACAGAAAATAAGTTGTGCAGTCCTCGATAAGTTTCAGGTTTTGTTTTTTTAATGGGCTGGGTGAAGGCCATTTCACACCATGACCATATATATTCAGCAAACAGCAGTGGAAAAAAAACAAAACAAGCTACACATGCAAGAATGAAATGTCAGGAGCAAAACATATTTTTTTTTCCTGATACCTACCGGTGCTCATGATTATTTTTTATAGCCTTATTTTAAGAAAGATATTTGATTTTTAAAAAAGCAACAAATTAAGGCTAGGGCAATAGTAATCAGTAGTTGGCCTATAACATGGGGAAACAAGTGCCAAGCACTCATGAGTCATTTCCCAACCACATGCGGTAAAAGCCACAGAGAGCCTAGGCCCAAGGTGATTTTTATCGGCCTGCGAGATGTTAGGGGTGAGTCCTCGCCTCATGCCGAGACCCGGGGTGGGGGTGAGAATATCGGGTCATGAGCTATTATCACTAGGGGTGAATAGGTGGCCACTGTTGAAATGATAATATAACAATATATTTCAGTTTTTAATATTTTTTTTTAATTTTTATTTTTTTAGCTCAGTCTCAGTGTTACTTCAAGATAAAGGCCAACAGAGGTTGAAAACAGTAATAATCAAGTGGAATTTATTTCTCCTGCCTGAAGTTCAGCCCACACTTTCCATGAGAGAACTTTTAGTTTATGTTTAGGGCAGGCATGGGCGATCTATGGCCTGAGGGCCAGAGATCTGGCCAGCGTGTTTTCTTCAGACAGGCTCGCAAATTAACCCATTAGTAATTGATAAATAATGAATGTGACCTTTGCCTGCATTGAGTTGGTAAGTAATTTTAATGGAAAAAAGCCAAACTGTCGTGAAAATTAAAATGTAGTTTCTGGCTGACATTGAACTGGAAACAGTAAGAGATCAATGTGATTTTTTATCTCATGATGAAATGCCCTTGAACCCTGAGTGACATGATATGATGGATGATGGCATTCTCTGGTTTTGGCCACAAGTGTACTGGATATTGACTGACTTAAATACTTGGTATCGATGTTGCATCCGAAAGAGAGAGATACGCTGCTATTTTTCAGTACAAAATGAGCAGTAATATTTCACTTGTTTTCAACAAGGGTGAGTTCCAGGGGGGCTTGCCGCCCCTCACCTAATAAAAATGGGGCTTGTCAGGAGGGCATGCCCCCCCCCCCCTGAATTTTAAACCATAATTTGATGTTTCGCAATTAAGTTTGAATCTCTTGCTCACACGCATGGGAAAAAGCTAGTTTAGAACCAGAAGTAATCGTTGGTGGAGCCAAAAACCAAACTCAATAGTTATCGTTGGGGCCAAAACCCACACTCAATAGTTAGTTAGATTGGTGGGGCCAAAGCCGAATTGTCCCGACAACTATACTGCTCTACTATTATAAGATGTATTTTTGATCTTTACTCCAAGACATTAAATTACTGATAGAAGTGATAATAATTTACCCAGTGCTCGTTGCTGAAAATTTGGTCAAATTCCTGTTTATGGTTTGGATGTACATCAAGTGCAAAAATCCTTCTTTAAATGAGCTACGTTTGATTTTCCAGGTCACTATGGCAGGGCTATCCTCCAATAGACATAGGAATTTAGCAGAATTGTTACGATTTAAAAAAAATTTCTGAATGATTTTTTGGCGTACATTAATTAGATGCATGATCAGATCAGACTGGGTCAGGTTATCCTGGCCTGTGAACACTTTCTGATATATAATATTATATATGCCAAAGTGATACACTTTATTATACAATGCCGTTATATATTTATATTTACTTCTGGATGGAGTCTGTAAAAATGAAGTTTCCCCGTATCATCTGTTCTTCTTTTTCTTACTCCTGCTAGAGGGGGCAGGTTAGTCTTTGTTTGATTGGTTGTGTGCGTTTTGATTTTTCTTTTCATGGACGACGTTAGAAATATTGGAGGAATATATATTTTATCTTTGTTGTATACAAAAGTATGTTTAAGTTAAGACATCCCCAGAGACATGGTCATGGTATTAATATGAGATTAAGTTTGCGGATGATCCCAGGTTACTCAGAGTGTATGAAGAGGGGAGAGGTTCTATCACATTTTGTACTTTGTTTAGTTAACCATACACTGCTGTTTGGATTCACTGACTTAACAAGTTCAGGTGAAGAATAGAATGTCATTGATGTATAATTCTCTAAACATGTCTGTCGAAAAGAACTTTTCAGGAGAGGCCGATTACTGACTTTCTCTTCTCTTTTTGCTTTGCTTAAATTTTAATTCCATTGTAAAAGTAAAAGATATGATTAACTATATAATTATTGGTCAAAGCATGGTGTTCTTCTTACAATTGTACATGATTGGAAACTCCCTTTTTAGACACGAGTTAAGTAAAAAAATATAGTTAGCAAAGTTAGTTTTTTTTAAAAAGAGTATTGCGCTCTAACTTTATAAATTGATTTAGATACTGGTATATTCATTCATGGGTGCTCTGGTGGGGTTTGCTCCTTTTTTTCTATCAAACATCTATCATCCTGATCGCTCCTCCTTCTTTTTAGTATTTTTTATTCTCTTGTCATTTGACCTTCTTGTGTTGCAAGTGCCATAAAATCTTATTAGAATTAAACTTAAGTACATTCCTGTACAAAAGCGAAGTGGATGGGGATCTGTACAAGGTAATATTCCATGATCAAAATATCCATATTTTTTTAATTTTACTGTCGTGGCAGCAGTTCTTAGCAATGAAATGTGACGCTTTTCATCAAAAAACTATTCTATTTCGAGCAAATTTAAACTGAATCTTGATTTTTTCCACCAGGTATATTCATCACACAATCTCTGAAGATGAAATCCTGATGCAAATAAATCCTGGAAGTAGCCGGCTACCTTTGAATCCATCTCATGCTACTTTAACAGTGGAAAGTCAAAATCCAAGAACTAAAGCCAAGGAAGTAACGAGGTAAAGCTGCTCTTTATCATATTACATCAATGATGTGGTATGCACAATGAGTGACAATGTGCCATCTCCCAGGTAGCCTGTTTTTTTTTTTTCGGGGGGGGGGGTTGAAAACTTACATTTTATTATCACAGTTATAACTCAAATTTGGCATAAAAATGAGTGGGAACACTAAAATTCTTGATGCGCAACTTTTGAGATGGTTTGATCTTGCTTTACTTTACAACATAGTCAAAAATAGTGTTTTGGAAAATTTCAGAGTCGGCCCATTTGTGCTTGACACAAATATTCTTTCAGTTCTTTTTTGTTGGGGTTGGAAAAGGAGGTTCGGCATCCAGTTGGACCGGCTGTACTGGCTGCATTTTTACTCTGAAATTATGTCTCTTTGTATGTTGGTTAAACTTACTTTAAAATGGCTGACAAGTTCTCTCTTATGAGCCCGCTCAACAGTAGCTTCATTTCTTCAGAAAGACATAAGAGAGGAACCACTCCCTGTCAGCCCATTCCGACCACCTGCACTGAAAAGCTTCTGGTTTTTCCCCAGTGGTCTGTTGATTTAAGCGAGTAGGTTTTTTTTTTTGTGGAAATGGTAAACAAAGTAATCAGCAGTAATCTCAGCTATGGGACACAGTGCACCTCTCAGACATTATTGTCATTCCCTGTGGAGCAAGGGTTTGCCCTTATCACAGTCTTTACCGTCGTCCTCTTGTCAATGGGAAAGTGTGGTAACAATCTTGAAAAGTCATACATTTCACCTTGAAAGGTTTCATTTTTTGCTGTGTGTATGAGTGTATGTTTGTATTTTGGGTTCTATTTTTCGTTCTTTAACTAGAGATTGTGATAACCCTGTCATTGTGGTTACAACGTTATAGTGATGCAGAAGTGAAAATGGGATTGTATCATCCTTGCTGTGGAAAGAAAAAAAGTAATTACTATTTTCATCCTGCTTTATGGGGTGAGTGATAATGAAAAGTGGAGGTCCTCATTTTTCCTGTGAGAGCAACGATATGCTCTCCTCTACCACTGATCTTATAAAGTTTATTCTCGTGTTTGTCATTTAAGTGATCGAATACCATGACATCATAATAGTGAAGGCTGACCGTGATTCATTTCCTGGTTGCTGTTTTGCCAGGCATGTTTTCAGTTTGTCTTCTTGTCTTTCTAATTGTCTTCTCTTGTCGTGCCTCCAGGTTCAAGTGCACTTTTGCTGGCTGTGCTCGCACTTACAGTACTCAGGGAAATTTGAAGACACATGAAAAAACACATAGAGGTTTGTTGTTGTATAATTTCATGATCCTTAACGTAAATATGAATGGTGTCCCATTCTAACCATTTATTCACAAAATTAGTTCAGACACTTTTTTTTGGTCTTATCTAATGTTATCAGAGAGTTTACAGTAATACTAGAGAGACGGCACTTCGCCCGGATGCGCGTATCTGGGTCACCAGCTGATCGTGGAGAAACGCGCGGTAAACAAAAACTGCGTCCATTGTTCAAGGCATTTTCGTTGATGGCAGACAAGCATGGCCCTGGTTAGCACGAAATGTCAATGGTGTTCTGCTAAGAACTGCACCTATTAGAGTCAAAATCTCAGTTTCTTTCGATTTCCTAGGAATATATTTTGATGAATAGAAAAATATAGATCAAAATAATGACAATGTGATTGTGGTCCTACCAGACTGATACTCCATGCACAAACTCAACACACTTCAACTTTGTTATA